TCGTTGCCTTTCCCATCGATGTTGCTCAAGCTCCCTAATGTTTAGTGAAGGATACAGTAAGCAGCAGAGCTCTTTGGGCAGAGTACTTTGTCTTCTTGATCTTCACATTGCACCAGTCATAAATGAACCTGAGGTCTTTCTTGGGCACATTGTTTGTTTTTGTTTTCCAACCTTCATTGCAAACACATACTGAACCAACTCGGCGGCCATGGTGACAGTTAAGTGGCACCTGTCATTCAAAAGTAAGCAATTAACTTGCATGAATTTTATAGATGGCATTACAATTTAATCTGCATATAACAAATAAAAAGTCAAGGAAAAAGTTGACTAATAAATTCCTTCCACACTAGAATGATGGCAGATAGACTGTCTAACACTTATTTCTCATAAGAAAACTTAAAAATTGTTTGAATTCAAAAAGATACCAACCGAATTTTCCCTCAGTAAAAAAATTTGTTTGTAGTAGTCGAAAGATGGACACTTAGGTCTTAAAACGAATAGAGAGAAAATTAGCTGTTTTAAACTCTGTGAATTGTTTCCTTTTCAAGCGTTTAGCATTCGTTAGTTCTGTGCATGCGTTGGTAAAAATTGTCAGCTTACCGGATTGATGTCTTTGATGTCTTCCAACGTGAACTTCATCTGCGCTAATTTGCTCTTGTCCATGTTGTCATGAATCTGTTTCCTCTGTTCTTTTGTTAGTTCAGCACTCACTAAACTCTTACAGTCATTATGGTCCTTGTCAAAAGCCTATCAATGTAATACTAATTTCAGCACTTATATGGCACATGTATACTTATATGATTTCTAATACTTTAATATTCTTTCAACTTCAACATGCAATAACTTGAAAACAAGAGAAAATCAGAAATAATAATTTTTTTTTGTTTAATCATAACATCGGTACTTGTAAGTGTTCGTTAAAAGCAGCCTGCTCTTTCAGAAAGGACAGGCGAGATATTTTTATTTCATAGTAAAACAAATACTATAGTGAGATTGCTTACGGTCTCTTTTGTATCATTCTAAAGTGCACTGAGCTGTCACGACAAGACTGGAAGGAGCGAAAGAGCAGATGCGACAATCTTGAGAACCCAATCGCATCTAATTTGAGGGAAAATACAACATGTACTTGGTACCCCTTTCTCCTACCAAATTGATGTAAAAACGTTTCATGTTCTTCAGATTTTGAGTTGAAATGTTAACATGATTACGTCTGGTAAAAGCTTAGCACAAGGAAAAGATGGAATGGAAGAGGAAAACGGGTAGAAAAGAAAACGAACACACAGTAAAAGTAAAGATGGGATATTTTACTTCTCTTTTACTTCTGGATATACTTGTTGCAGAATTTCTTTTTTTCGCAAAGCGTCTTGGATCGATCTAGGAGTCAGTGGGTCGAGAGAAGAAAACAAAAAAAGAAAATACCTATAAAGCATCCCATTAGTGATAACTTACAATTTCTGGTAATTCCCCTTTCTTCCCTTTTGTGTAACATTCGTGCACAGCTTCGCATTTTCCTGTAGTGTTCCTGAAAAAGTTTCTCCGGCCATTGTACTTTTCTACGCAGTCTACGGGTTGACAGTTTTTTCTTGGATCCTAAAGAAGACATAAAACGACCAGGCACTGTCAGTCCACCTTTGTTCAAGGAGAAGCTGAATCACAGCTTTCTTTCTCGTATAGCATGTGAATTCGCTTTTGATCGTTTTGTCAACATGTGGTAGGTGACAGGTAAATCGCATTGTCATTCAACGGAAACAGTTCTTACCATGAGGGCTTCTACGCTTCGTATTCTACCTTTGTGACCTTTGTGCCGAAGGTGTCGAATTTTTTATGTCGTAAGCAAATCTTTCACGGCCGTTATGGTATAAACCGATTCTACGCCCCTTTATGTTTCTCTGATGCTGCCTGAAACTCTGCAGATCATTCCATTTTACACGATAGGGATTTACTATTATAGATCAATCTCAGACGTCAAACTTTACATGTGTCCGTGTTACAGCATTGAATGAACAAATTTAATGTTTTAGCTCATTAGACGATGAGACGTGCAATGTCTGAAACTTGTTGGAACTATTAAGCTAACCAAACCTTTATGATACTCATTATGCATTGCGACTAAGTGAATTACACAGCGCTCTAAACAAGGCAATATCGTAAACTTCTAATTATAAGCCGTGGGCTTATATAACTTTGTAAGGGGTTTTAATTAGAAGCCCCTAAAAACGGGGAGGCTTATATTCAAGGAAGGGGGGAAGGGGGGGGCTTATTGCTTGATTAAATTAAGTGTTTCAAAACAAGCTACATAACAGCCAGATTATCAAAATAATTTTTGAAGTTGATCGCTTTTGTAAGCTTCAGAACGTGGTAAAAAGTCGAATTCATTTAATACAAGCTAGAAGGGGGCTTTTAACCGGATAAATATTTTTTTGTTTACAGGTAGATGGGCATATAAATCGGAGGTTATAAGGGAGGGGGGAAGGGTCGGGGAAGGGACTTATTATAATCGGAAGTTTACGGTATTTCCATTACTTACCCGATCAACGCCTCGGCATTTTCTGTAACTGTCTCCTCCAAAGCCAATAACTATGCGAAATAAGTCAATATTAAAAGTCGAGAATGCCAGAAATTCTCTCTACAGTCTAGTATACGGCTTTTATAGTAAGGCAAGCAACATACACAGACACAGTGAAATGCTATAAACATGGAATCCTTGAGGAGGTACGGCCCCGAAATCAATTCCCAGTATGACAACAAACTGGATTTGTTCATGTTAGTCCCGAGTTCAAATCCTCCACCCTCGTTAAATGGTGGTATTAACAATGCCTTATGTGGTCCATACCACTTAATTAGAGTAGTAGAAGTTGGGTAGAATCAATCCTTTAATAGGCTAGGAGTAGTTCTGTCCGAATTAGAAAGAAGTGACCGGTTGACTAGTGTACTTATTTATTAGAATAGATATATTGACTAGGTGATCAAATTTGTATTTGAAATCTTTTAGAGCGGTTTTCACTTGACTGTCGAATTGGGATTGGTTTTGGTTTTGGTTTTGGTTTTACTACGTCCTTTGGTTGGCTAGTGTATTTACTTTGGTTTTGGTTTTACGACAGTCAAGTGAAAACCGCTCTATCAGTCATAGATAAATATTGGAATCACTCAAAACTCATTTTTTGCAAAATGCATAGCCTTAAAGCTAAAGCTCCACTAACACATATAAACATTAAACTGAATAGTGAAACTTACCGTCTAGCCATGATGCCTTTTTCGGTTCTGTAGTGTTGAATGGTACTTTATGATGTAGCTTCTTGTCTCCAGTAACAAATGTAAAGTCACAGCTTCCCACTCTATCCATCAGATACTAAAATTGATTGAACAAAGGTTTTCACTTAGAGCCGTTTTATTGAGTTAACGAACAACTGCAGAATAAATGGGATTTACGCAAAACAAGCCGTCCGCACAATACGTATCCAACATTTTTTGTCAACAGTGCCGAGTGAAAAATCTGAAAACTGTCAGCCGAGCCGTTCGTTAGTGTCGAAGTAAGGTCATACGCATGCTTTTTATGAGGTCAATACAGTCTATTTCTGAGATGAAAATATGCGCAAATTTAACTTACTTTGTTTGGAAATACGTAACTAATGTTCCCTGTTGTTGACGGAGACAGTGTCATTTCGTTTCCTCCAACAAGTTCCATCGACTGGTAAGAGACAAAGTACTGTTAAAAAGTATTCGTAAAAGTTTAAAACTTGCAAGCTTGAATCCATGAAGAAAAAGTAAATTCGCGTAGACCTAGGTTTTGTAGTACCAGAGATCGACTAATTAATAGTATTCCAACCTTGCAATCCAAGTCTTTTTTGTCAACTCGCCAACAGCAACGCGGTGTATTTGGTGTTATTGTGAGCGATTTTCTTGCATCGTTCGCAAGTGTTATGTCTGTAGAATTGTAGATAAAACCGCAAGAGTTTGTTGACTGGTTTGTTTTTAGTAGTAAGTGTTTTCTATTAACTTCAGTAATACCAGACAGTTATACTTACAAAACTGTATTCCAAAACTTTTTGAATTTACTGGTAAGATCCCTGAACGCTGTAATAAAAAGTACAGAATTTTAAGCTTCAATTGACATTATAAACTTAAAACAAACGGGATGTGATCTTGTCCAGCTTTGACTGGTATGGTTGATGCTCAGTCTGCATTCACTACTGTCGCTTTATTCAGTGTAAATTAAGTTTAATTGCCTTAGTGGTTTCGCCAACTGATATGAACTTTGTTTACAAGTTTTGCCGATTTCAGTTTGAATCGTTAAAATCGGGAAAATGGTATAAATACGGAAAGATTCATTGCTTAACAGTAGAACTAAGCTGAATTTACAAACCGACGACTAGGGTTAAATCTTCAATTGAAAGTCACCTCATTTTTTGAGCTCACCTCAACGTGAATCTTTCCGGATACTTCTAATGTAGAGCCCCAAAACAGAAAAAGAACGATAGCTGTCACCATTGTGATGGAGTTGAACAAATTATAGAAGTAAACTTCAGGGAGAAAATACTTGTAAGACCCTTCAACAAACTGTTTTGAAAATTCGCGCTTCAGTCGCGCTTGGTATGTAATTTATTCATCTTTCATGTCCCGGATTACGTGCGTGATTGGGACCTGGGATAGAGAACTTGTCTGTTCTCCCTTTCCGTATATTATGCCACTGAGGCTTTTAGTCAAAATTTGCTCCGAAAATAAATATCAGCAGTCACGTTATATTAACTTCACAAAAAAAGCCTTATACGCGAGATGCCTCCAGATCACTATCTCAGACTCTTTGTACGTTGTCATGTTTACAAAACTTTGAATTGAATGTTTTAGTCAGTGTTTTTCTGGCGTTGCTCCCGCAGAGAACGGTATCAAAATGTGCCATAATGTAACAAAGCACGTACAGAGGCATTTTTTCCTGCCGTTTTCTTTAACATTTGCATCGGCTCAGTAGGTACGCGTCAGCATGACGAACTGCGGTAACTAGCGGATAGAAGCCTAGCACATGGTGAAAAGCGCTATCCACGTTCTGAACAAAGAACTAACAAATGAAACCTGATTGAAATAGAACCTCTCTCTCTCTACAAATAATGCTCCCCCCCCCTCTATTGCCAGTAGCAATCAAAGATGTATGTAATATCACTTTCTTGACAGGGAACAAAGCACCTATCAGCGTTCCGACCTGAAAATGACCCTAAAAACGCAAGAGAAGGTGGCGTGTGTTTTGGGGGGAGGAGGAGGAGGAGGGGAGAGGCAGACTGACA